GGTGCGAATGCAACCCTTTAAATGGTACTGGGAAATAGTTCGCGCAAAATCGTCCCAGTACTTTAGTACTGTACATTTAGTTCTGGAACTAAAGCGGTGCGAAAGGCCCTATAGTTACCTTAACCAGGAATGGTCGACCAACAAAGATCACTCCAAAGCAAGCTGTGTAATAGTCCGCGAGGTTGCAAAGGATCCCAGTGTAACTTCAAAGCAACTAAAGGCCTTTCTCACATTGGCTATTGTTAATGTTCAGGAGTTCACTGTCAGGAGAACACTTAACATCCATGATGTGCATGGCAGAGTTGCAAGGAGAAAGCCACTGCTCTCCAAAAAGAACATTGCTGCCCGTCTGCAGTTTGCTAAAGATTGTGTGGACAAGCCAGAGGACTATTGGAGAACTTTTTTGTGGATTGATGGATTCAAAACAGAAATTTTTGGTTTAAATGAGAAGTGTTATGTTTGGAGAAAGGAAAACACTGCATTCCATCATAAAAACCTTATCCCATCTGTGGTGGTAGTATCCCAACATGGTGGTAGTAGTATCATGGTTTGGGCCTCTTTTGCTGCATCGGGGCCAGGACGGCTTGCCATCATTGATGGAACAATGAATTCAGAATTATACCAGCAAATTCTAAAGGAAAATGTCAGGACATCTGTCTGAGAACTGAATCTCAAGAGATGCAGCAAGACAACGACCCCAAACACAAGTCGTTCTTCCAAAGTATGGTTAAAAAAGAAAAAAAATGTGCCTAATGTTTTGGCATAGCCGAGTCAAAATCCAGACCTTAATCCAATTGAAATGTTGTGGAAGGACCTGAAGCAAGCAGTTCATAGGAGGAAACCCACCAACATCACAGAGTTGAAGCGGTTCTGTTCTGAGGAATGGTCTAAAATTCCAACAAGCCGTTGTACAGGACTGATCAGCAGTTACAATAAACATTTACCTGCAGCTATTGCTGCAAAACCGGATCAGACCAGATACTGAAAGCAAAGATTCACATACTTTTGCCACTCACAGATATGTAACACTAGACAATTTTTCTAAATAAATAAATGACAAAGTATATATTTTTGTCTCATTTGTTTGATTGGATTCTCTTTGTCTACTTTCAGAACTTGTGTGAAAATCTGATGATCATTTAGGTCATATGGAATACGAAATATAGAAAATTCTGAAGGGTTCACAAACTTTCAAGCAGCACTGTATGTGTAATCTTTATTAATGTAACAATATAAACTACCATTCAAAAGTTTAGGGGTCAGGAAGATGTATTTCAAGTAAATTATATTCTTTTAATCTTTCTATTTATAAAAGAATCGTGAAAAAAGTATTACGGTTTTCACAGAAATTTTAAGCAGCACAACTCTTTTCAACATGGATAATAATAAGAAATGCTTGTCATGTTAACTTTAAGGTGAAGTGGTAGCTTTGGGCGAGGAGAACAAGGAGAGACAGGTGTCTTCTGTAAGAAACAAAAAAAAAGAAGGAAACAGGAAAGACAACTTGTTAGAGACCACAGTGTGGTTCAAGACTGCAGCGACATTTTAGTGTAAAGAAAAAGAAAGACACTCCTGCGACATTCAGGTCAGGACAAGTCCCTTTTTTTTATCTGTAACACGTCACATTTTCCCTTGCATTTATGATTCACACACACCACAGGTTACCACACCCTTCCCTGGCCTCCCTCTGACAGTCGATGGTCCGCCCTTGTGCGACACTACGTCTGATTACAGACCGTGCTTGTGTCTGCAAGCTTGTGTACAATATGAAACTAGCCATAATTATGGGTCTGTACAAACATATGCATGTGTGAGAGAAAGCATGACCCTTTATGAATCTGTCCAACAAAAACTGGTGAAGCAGGAACTGGACTTTGAACATTAGAAACCCTGTGACCGGCCACATACATTTTAAGAGAAAACACAGGCATAGAAGAGGTCAGCATAAAAATTATAGTTTAGATTGTAAACTTTTCATTTTATTTACATCAAACTTTGATGGAGCGAATACAGAGCCTTGAGGTATCCAGAACTCAATACATGACTCAAACTCGGCTCGTCTGCATTTACTACAAAATTAGCCTATTGTATGTCATCCTTTGGCTTAAGGGCAATGTTTATTTTGTCTCTAGAACAATGGGAGAAGTTAGCCTAGCCCTATTATGGGCCCTTACCGTTTTGTTCTTCCCGTTCCACAAACAGATGAAAACCGTTTAGAAGAGGTCAGCATAAAAATTATAGTTTAGATTGTAAACTTTTCATTTTATTTACATCAAACTTTGATGGAGCGAATACAGAGCCTTGAGGTATCCAGAACTCAATACATGACTCAAACTCGGCTCGTCTGCATTTACTACAAAATTAGCCTATTGTATGTCATCCTTTGGCTTAAGGGCAATGTTTATTTTGTCTCTAGAACAATGGGAGACGTTAGCCTAGCCCTATTATGGGCCCTTACCGTTTTGTTCTTCCCGTTCCACAAACAGATGAAATTCAGTTGGGCTGAATTATTAAAGAGTGGTATTTATTATAAGAGTTATTATTATTAGAGTGGTGCAAAATACAAACATTGTGCCTCTAGTCAGAAAAGTTTCACACCACAGTGACTGGCACAAACTATGCAGTGACATGGCTAACATTAATCAGATCTAGAGATCACATACTTCGCACTTGATGTCATTCAGTTCAATGCCTACAGAACGAATCAACATCATAGCAAATCAGTAGCAAACTTACCATTTATACATTTACAAATGTTTGAAAAAAAAAAACTGCATTTCTAGATGTTAGTAAAAACTGTTGTTTCCTGTACAGACAAAGCTTGCCTTGTTATGCTTGAAATCATAACGTCATTCTAACCCACATTCCAACAATTCTTGTTTTGTTTAAAGATAAATGGAAGTGCTGGCAAAAGATTGCACAGATGATGATTCTAGGGCTGTGCAAATAATCGAATGTGATGATAATGCGCATCTCGTCAGTAAAGCCGGTTCTGTGATTAGTAGTAAATCTCCATCACCTGCTTTCAAATGCTTTCACATCGGCGATAATGAACGTGATATTGCATAGCTTATCAGTGAACTACGGCTCTGTGTAGTAAATGCTGCTCCATTTGAAAGCAGGTGATGGAGATTTACTACTAATCACAGAACTGGCTTTACTGACGAGATGCGCATAACAATCGCATTCGACTATTTGCACAGCCCTAGATGATTCCTTCCCAAAAAAGGTGTGTGCATTGCGGTGAGTGTTTATTTAAAGGGTTTGTTCATGGTTTTTCATTGTGTGATGGTCAATGTTGTCATACGGGTGACAAATCAGCCTAAAATACAGGACAAAGACCAATAAAACCGTATCACATGGCAACAATCTGACAGTAACAAAAATGTAGCACTTCAATAGGGAAGCATAATTTTTCTTGCAAGCAACTACCATAGTCATCACTGCAGTTTATTAGCATGCTAATAGGTTCTTAAATTAATTCCTGTAGCATTTGGACCAATCAGACACACAACTTTTTGTTATATTTAACAAATAATATCTAATGCCCCCTCACCTAACCAAAGGGCCAATTACGAGGGTCTATGGACCCTTCCCCCGAAATGCACCTAACACCTCAGAAAGGCAGAACAGGCCTCTGGCTCCATGGTAACCAATGCGGATATCACTGGTTTTATTGCCTAAAGGAATGCCGGCAGATAGTCAGCTAAATATCTACAGCGGATCTAAAATATGAATAGTTAATTATAACTACTTATGGTTAATTATTTATATTTCCGGTCGTTGAGCTAAATTCGCTACATTCCCCTGCCACTAAAAATCTCACAAAACAACTAGCTAGTTGCTTGATGACTAATCATCTAGTTAACCATCCTGGCAATCCCTATGCATTTGGCTGGAGCTGTCACTGAGGTTTTAAAGCATTCCCTGAGGCACTTCAAAACACCACTTGCACATTCTCAGTCCATCAATCTAATTCAGACTCACAGAAAAGTGTAGCTAACCCAAACAGACCCTGCGGGAAGGTTTAATGAAGAGAACATGGTACACAAAGTCTCTGTTTAACCCAAGCAAGCACACATGCGGATCTGGCACTTCACAGGAGATACGATGGATCATCCGTCTTTTGACAAAATTAGCTAATTTATAAAACAACTGGAGAAAGATCTGACTAGAAACATGTCTCTTAACGCTCTGTTAGCTTGATAAGCGTCAGCGCACAAATATTGGATGGACAAATTCCTGAATTCCAAAGGATCAAAGTGGCTTTTATTAAGGCAGAGGGAACGAAATAATGAGGGAAGTGAGGTAAGGTAGCATTCTCTCAAAAACAAGCTAAAAAAAACATAGGCTACTAGTTAGCCTTTTTCTGTTCATTCTGCAGCCAAAGTGCCCTATCAACAAACTCCTAGCACACTTCTTGTAATCTGTTGCTCACAAGCTAAAGGATGTCATACAATAACATAATTTTGTAGTAAATGCAGACGAGCCATGTTTAAGTCACATCTTGAGTTTGGGATACCTCAAGGCTCCGTGCTCAGCCCAACACAGGATGATGTAGATTAAATAAAAGTCTTTATTTTTGCAATCTGAACTGTAATGTCTAAATATAGCCATAAAATATCCTTTTATAACCTAGCACTAACATCTTTTTCTTTGAATTTCAAGCAAATTATAACAAATTCGTCATATATAGAGAGTGATATTAAATTACTTGGTTCATACTGCTAACCCCTAGCCTAGGGTCTTTTGGTTACCTGAAGAATGGGCTTGAATAACACTACTATTGTTGTTGTTTTCAAAAATGACATTTTGCCTCGAAGTGACAATAAACAAAATGCAGTTTTAGTGATACCAGGGGCGATGATCGTGTTGAGAACACAGCTGGCTGTGGTTTACTATGAATGAGCAAATTAATCTCCTTTCTGTTCCCGTGGCGATAAAGCGTATGTAGAATGCAGGTTAGTCTAAAGGAACCATCATGCATCTTAACTATGTTGCTATAGTAACACTTGTGAGTGACAGGTCAAAAAAGGTGTGCAATGAGATGGTTGACTATAGAGGAAGTGCACACTGACTGTCAAACGAACTAGAGAGAAAATTTGCTTGGAAGTAAACCATATTTTAAACTTCAAAAACTTTTTGTGTCATGTTTCCTTTCCCCTTAATCTTTCTCTTCCAAACAGAACAAAAAACATGCTGAAGCAAGATCCAGTCTTCTGTTCAGCTGAGGTCTTGTTTCACAGCTGAACCAATGACCCCTTAAACTTTTAATAATCCCCAAACACAGATGGCAGAGAAAGTACAGAGCGCACAGACAAAATATAGTATGGAACAAATGTTAAACTATTAAATGCAATTAACCTCTTGCACTTCTGGACATCAAGTGTGTGGAAACAACAGAACATAACAAAATGTCTTACCTTAAAACTGGCTAACTCTTGTTTGGTGAATCCATGACTGTGGATAATCTTCATCTGTTTGACCAGTGTGCTTTTCCCACTTTCAGCAGCACCTACATCAAAATAGGTCATTCATAATTACTAATTAGTCATTTAGTTTACACTTTTAACAAAATCTAATGGTACAGTCTATATTAACCTAAGATAAATGTCTAGTTTAAGGGTACAGCTTTCACTGTTCATGAATCAACACTTTCTGAAGTTCAAACCCACAACCTTTCAGTTACCACTCCAGATATGAGGTTCAAACCTGCCACCATTCAGTTATCTGCACAAATATGAAATTTGAACCCACAACCTTTCAATTATCAGCCCAGATGTGAGGTTCGAAACCATTACTTTACAGTTACCTACACAAATACAAAATTCAAGCCCACAACCTTTCAATTACCAGCCCTAATCTGAGTTTCAAACCTAGAACCATTTACGGTAGTTACCTGCACAAATGTGAAATTCAAACCCACAGCCTTTAAGTTACCATGCCAATTCTGAGGTTCAAACTGTCCAGTTACCTGCACAAATATCAAATTTATACCCAGAAATATTCAGTTACCTGCACAAATATCAAATTTATACCCAGAATGATTCGGTTACCTGTACAAATATGAAATTTGAACCCACAATGGTTCAGTTTCCTACATAAATATGAAAATTAAACCCAGAATGGTTCAGTTACCTGCACAAATAGAAAATTCAAACCAGCACAGATCTTTAGTATATGAAGCTAATACCTTCATATCAGGCCATTTCTCACATTCAAACTCACAAATGTTCAGATAACTGCACGAATCTGATATTTTAAAGCAACAACCTTCCATTTCACTGACCATATCTAAGATTCAACCCACCAAACTTTCAGTTTCAACCGATAACTGAGACTTGAACCTTTTATATATCAGTTAAAACTTCACATCTGGGCAGTTAACTTAACATTTTTGGGTTTGTACCTCCTACAAACCCAAAAATGTTAAGTTTCAATCTACAACCTGCCCAAATCTGTGGTTCAAACCCACAACCTGTTGGTTTCAAACCAAAACTGGGATTTTAAACCAACATTCTTGGAGAGATTGGCTATGTAGACTGATAACTTTCCATTTCAAGCCCATATCTTTTGCTGAATAAATAAACCAGATCTGGAGTTCAAACCCACAATCTTTTAGTTACAAGTAAACTAAAATACCCAAAATTACATTTCTAATGAACAAGCAGGTCCATGTAAAGATCAAAACCAAACCAACTAAAAGCATACTTACCCAGCATGAGGATCTTCACTACGTTCATCTCTCTCTTGGCGCACTCGTACAGATCTCTGTCTATCTGCGAGCTGTGGATCTTCGCCTTCTTTCCTTCCTCGGTCACCTCTGAGCCCAGACACAGACCCATATCCAGAGCTCATGTCTTTCCCACACAGCTAAAGATCCAGCAGAAATCCCAACATTACGGATGGAACCGAAAAGGACCGTTCAAACACACGTAAAAACATCCCGGAGATCACCGCGCGCTCTTATCCAAAGTCCCTCCGGTTAACGCGTAAAATGACACCAAAGTCAACTGCGCGTGTGTTTTTGGAATGATCTGATTCCAAATCTGAGAGAGAGAGAAGGAAAGTTTCGAAAAAAAAGTTTCAAATTCGCCTGTTCCCGGTTAGTTTCGTCTGACTCAGCGCTCCTGCTGGTTCGGGATCATCGCGTAGACGGGTTTTATCTCACGTAAACACTGTCAGACGCCCCACAAACACTCCTATTCCACAACGCAACTCTACCGGTTCATTACAAGCAAACTAAACGGTGCGGGTCGCCTACAGAGCGTCGCTTTTTGGGGGTGTCCGGAGGCGTGGTTGGATCCAGATCCAACTCCTCCCACCTTACATATACCTAAACCAGGGGTGTCCAAACTCGGTCCTGGAGGGCCGGTGTCCAGAAGAGTTTAGCTCCAACCCCAATTAAACACACCTGAAGCAGCTAATCAAGCTCTTACTAGGCATACTAGAAACTTCCAGTCAGGTGTGTTGAGGCAAGTTGGAGCTAAACTCTGCAGGACACCGGCCCTCCAGGACCGAGTTTGGACACCCCTGGTTTAGATATATGTAAGGTGGGAGGAGTTGGATCTGGATCCAACCACGCCTCCGGACACCCCCAAAAAGCGACGCTCTGTAGGACACTGAGCTTGAACACTGAGCTCTGACAGTTTGGGCAGCCCTGACCTAAACCTACCCGTCTCCACCCCCGGATCCCTAAACCTACCCATCTCCATCCCCTAGATGTGGATTCAACCACGCCCCCTGGATCTTGTGTTCTGCAGTGAGGGGCTACTGGGTGTCCGCGTTCTTTAGGAAGGAAGTGTTGTCACCTGAGATGGGTTCCACTCAAGCGCTGTGCGAGAGTGACTGGCAGACCCTGAAACTCATTATACAATTAAATGTAATGAAATGAAATTAATGAATTAATACAATATTTTAAAATAAAATGAAGTAAAAATATAAAGTAAAAACGTTCAAAGTAACTATAAACAAACAACACATGCCATAAAATACCATATAAACAATAAAATAAAATATGAAATCAATCAAATAAATTTAAATGAAATTTTTTATTATTATTATTTTGTTATAGTTTTTTATCTAATAGGCTACAACAAAAACTAAATCACGGAAGCAGTCAAAAAACACTCACTACGCATCAGCTTAAATATGTACAATAAAACTTTATAATTATTATATTTATTATTAACCATAAATATTTTCTTTGTACAATCAGTGACCACACAAATTCAAACCGGCTGTAAAATTCAGTTGAGAATGTTTTTACTTCACAATGTTAATTTAGTATCATACTATTATGGCTTTAATCAATATTTAAAATATTATTTATTTTCATTTCAGATAAAATTTTAGTAGTTTTAATGTTTTTGTCATTTTTAGTAGTTTATTTTTATATATGTCTATATAGTTTTTATAGGCTAAGTACATCAAGTTAAACTAAATTAAAAGGAAAAATGTTTCCTTGGCAACTACAGGAAAAAAATTAACTTAAATGATTTTAGCAAATGGCTGCAATATAACAAAGAGTGAAAAATTTAAGGGGGTCTGAATACTTTCCGTACCCACTGTATATATATATAACTTTTTACTGGTACTTTACATTGTGTTAAAAAAGACCATATCCATAAAAAATCATTAGCAGGGGTGGAAAATATTATGTATTTCTCATAAAGTTCAGTCTGAAAGATGCATACATAATCTTCAAATTGACTCAATTAGATTCAGTAATTAGATTTTAATGCGCTTAATGCATTAATGTTCAAATAATAGTCAGAACAGCCTGTTTTCATATTTATTGTGAAAATTGCATAGAATTTGCAATTAATGTATGTGTTTTGATGATTTACAGTTAATCATGGGATGATAAATTAAAGATTGTCTGAAGACGTTAACACCACATTCAGAATTGGTCACTCAACATTTCTGCAAAGTAGAAACATTAAATTTGTGTTTTTTTCACAACTATTCACTATAAATGTGCAGGAAATGTTAAAAACAATAAACATGCTTCAATTGCAAGGTGCTTTGACATTCATTAAAACCAAAAACAGGTGGCAAACTGCATAAAAACAAGATAAAAGTACATATGAGATAAAAGCAAGTTTGAATTTTGACAATCAGTTTGGTTTAGACTGATGTTTGTAAAGATTATTTATGTTGCATGTTAAAATGAATGAAACTGTGACGTTAAACTGACATGTAACAATCACCTGAGGTCAAAGAGTCTTTGGTTGTGACTTTGATCACATCACAACAAGGTGAGAAAGTGGAAATAAAAGTGGTATAAGAGAGAGTAAAATGCCAGATATGTGACCGTGGACACTGTATGAAACAATATTTGAAAAAACTTCTGAGATTTGTTTCTTGATGATGATGAGAAAGGTAAAACTACAACAGCACCACCAGAATAAGAGTTACTAGGGTAAAACCAGGTAAAAATGGCCAGGATAACATTTTACCACAAAAAAGTTTTAATTTTGATTTAATATTTTAATGATTTTATTTTTTTGCATTGTGACATTATTTTGATCGATATAGCCCATTTGCCAAAATCTCACTATCAAAATGGAAAATATATATATATATATATAATATAAAAAAGGATAGCATATATTAATTAAATTGTAAAGTATTTATATATCATGGTAGTGCATCCTTAATTTATACATATCTATAAAAAAAATACTATAAAGAGAATCTAATATGAATCATTACGGCAAATAATGAGATCTGCAAACAAAAAAAAATTTATAAAATAAAAATGTAAATGTCCAGATGTATTATGGTAATGAGAATATAAATGGAAATTAAATAATAAAAAATAATATCACAATGCAAAAAAAATGCCTTAATAGTCCTAAAACAAGAACATTTCTTTATGAAAAAAAATTCTTTCTTTTTTGATTTTGGGGTAAAATGTGACCTGGATATATTTCCATGACACAGAATATAAAACGCAAAATAAAACAAAATCCAAACATAAAATCAGAATAAGCTTACATACATACTATCAGCTACTATGCAAACTATCGTAGTCAACATCAAGTGTTTCTTCGCAAAGCGATTCTCTGCTCAACCAGTTACGAGCGGATGGATCGCCCCAATTAAAAAACTATTGAAATTACACAATCTTCCCATAACCTTCCTATATGACACAAAAGTATTTGCTGAATGTTTCTCAATGTTCCTCCCATCCACAGAGGAAGTCTTCCAATCCATTTAATAGGTACCATAAAAATTCTCCACGCACAACAAAGTGCTTTTGTCGTCAAAGAGTCGTACGAAGAAAAAAAAAAGTCTCGGTTTCTCCAAGTCCTCTTAAAAGCAGCCTCAGCTCAGGCATTTGTTCGTTCAGGGTGTTTTATAACAGTCCGAGGGTCATTTTGGTTCTACGATGAAGCCCTCGATTTGTTTGGCTTGGATATTTTGGTTAATTATTCGTTAGAGCCGTCTCGGTCTTCAGCGAATCATCTTTACGCTTCAAAGCCTCGATCACGGCCATCTCTTTAGCTTCCTTCTTCTGGTTCCTGGCCTCAAACTGCAACCTACCAGGACAAAGAGAGACACGGCTCATTTGCATATGTTCATAAGATTTCTAGTGAGCGATGCTTTCACGTTTTGCTCGTATTGCCCACAAACCTGTTCTCAATGATTCTCTGCACGATGTCGTCGGAGGCCAGATTGTTGCCGCTGTCCAGGATGCGGAAAATACCTCTCTTCTTTGGCTCCTGTGAAAAGAGTCAATGGGTAAAAACTGTTTTATTGGAAGAAAAGATCGTTCAGAGATGCATATTAGGAGACTTTACTCACGGCGTAAGGGTCTGTCCCGTCTGTGTCAGGAAACACTTCGGTCTTCCCATGACACACCAGATCCACCTACAGCCAGGCACATGAACATTCAGATATAGATACATGACTGCAGATTCTGATATGTATAGTGTAATTTTAATATCATTGAGATACTATTATAGTTTTCATTAATGTTTTGAATCAGTTTTTATTTTTATATTTGCTGTTTCGTTAAAGTTTTAGTAATTTTTTTGTAGTTTTTTTTTTATATATGTTTTTATTTTATTTCAAGTAAAGAACTTTTTTGATTTTGATTTTTAGCTAACTATAATGACCTTGGTTGAGATAACGAGACACTTTTAGATGAGCAGATAATTGTAAAAAAGTTTCAGTTCAGAAACAGTTCAAACTAAAATCATTTATCAAAATATTTTAACGTACAACAGAATATTTGGATATTAGTGTAGTGCTTCATAAATTTGGCACTGAAAAAATAATGGAAGAAAAAACTTAAAACATGTCAAAAGGAAATAAGTAGATAAGTAGAGAGTAACAATTTATATCTCTATTTAAGCTCTACTTTTTCTTTTTTTTTTTTAATTAAGCAGATGATAATTCATTTTTAAATTATTTTTTCAGTGTCAAATGTCCATATATATCATATACTGTATATAATTTAATAAAATGTAACCATTTCAGTATTAAAATTTTTTTCTTTATATAATAACCAATAAACCTACATTTATTTTACAAATACATGATGTCATCAATATATTGTGCATCCTTTGTATTTTTTCCCCATCTGGACTGAGAAAATGTCCCAAGCACTCGTTTGAGTTAAACTCTAATGCATGGTTGAACGCTCTGTAACTGTCTGAGGGTTTGTGGTTAAAGAGGCGAGCAGTAAATCTCTAGATTGTTCCCGAAGCAGGACAACACAGAATTGCTGAAATAGTGTTCAGTCACTAAAGCCTTGGAGTCTGGCTGCTGTCCCAGAGCTTTACACAACACACACACACAGCTTTGTGTCTCTTCACACTCAAAGCCTCTTATTGTGTTATTGTGTCTAGAAGTGGGTTACACCAAAACTAGATTCTTATTCTCTACAATGAACGGTTTAGTACTGTACCTTAAAGTGATCCAGAAGGTCTTTTCCTACTGCATACGGAGCCCCGATCACAACCTCAGACACATACTGAAGACAAGGGAATCACAAGACAGTTATTCATGGTCTAAATGAAAGATTGATTATAAACTGAACTCAAAGTTCTACAACAGATTCTTTAAGTTCTAAACTGTCTAGGTTCTACTTTCTTCAAGTTGTCATTTTTTTAGGTTCTAAGTTCTTCAAGCTCATAAAGTTCTCCAGTTGTAGAGTTCTCTAAGTTCTAAAGTTTTCCACTAGGTTCTGCGTTCTCTAACTTTTAATTTCTTTACATTAAGTTTTCAGACTTCTCATAGCTCACACATTTCTCCAGTTCTATAGTTCTAAGTTCCCCAAGTTTTACATTCTCTAAATTCTTAAATGAACACTCCACTATTTTTGAAAATAGGCTCATTTTCCAACTCCCCTAGAGTTAAACAGTTGAGTTTTACCGTTTTCGAATCCATTCAGCCGATCTCTGGGTCTGGCGGTAGCACTTTTAGCTGTAGCTTAGCATAGATCATTGAATCTGATTAGACCGTTAGCATCTTGCTCAAAAATGACCAAAGTGTTTCTATATTTTTCCTATTTAAAATTTGACTCTTCTGTAGTTACATCGTGTACTAAGACCGACGGAAAATGAAAAGTTGCGATTTTCTAGGCCGATATGGCTAGGAACTATACTCTCATTCTGACGTAATAATTTCGGTGCAGCAGGCGCAATGATATTATGCAGCGCCTGAAAATAGTCCCCAGCTAGGTAACTTCCAACGTGACCGGCACTAAGTTTGTGTAGTTGGTTATGTTGATGGAAGTTAGCCTATTTTCAGGCGCTGCGTAATATCATTGCGTCTGCTGCAACCATGGTACGGCAGCAAAGTTCCTTGATTATTACGCCGGAATGAGAGTATAGTTCCTAGCCACATCGGCCTAGAAAATCACAACTTTTCATTTTTCGTCGGTCTTAGTACATGATGTAACTACAGAAAAGTCAAGTTTTAAATAGGAAAAATATAGAAACTCTTTGGTCATTTTTGAGTGACATCGGCTGAATGGATTAGAAAACGGTAAAACTCAACTGTTTAACTCTAGGGGAGTTGGAAAATGTGCCTATTTTCAAAAATAGTGGAGTGTTCCTTTAAGTTGTAGTTTCTCAGAACTATCCAAGTTCTAAAGTTCTACATTTTCTAGGTTCTACATTCTCTAACTTTACTCTTTATTTAAGTTTTCAGAGTTCTCCAAGCTCACAAAGTTCTCCAGTTCTATAACTATAAGTTCCTTTAACTTTTACATTCTCCAAATGTTTGTAGATCTAATTTCTTTAAGTTGTAAATATTCAGAGTTATCCAAGTCCTAAAGTTCTACATTGTCTAGGTTCTACAATCTCTATATTTAATTTCTCTAGGTTTTAAGATCTCAAGGACCTACTGTGACGAGAGGGGCGGGGCCGAGAGCCGTGGGAACGGAGCGAGCCCGGTGGAGTAAATGCTAATGCGCGACACCTACGCCACTCACCGGTCTCGAGTCCCACGGAGGAGCTCCGGAAGGATAAAAGGAGGAGTGACGACAGTGTTGGACGAGAGAGGACCAGGCCTGGATTTTATTTTGTGTTTTGTGTGCGGCAGTCGTCCGCGAGGGGCTGCCGCTTTACTTTCATTTTGTGTTTGTTTATTTTATTAAAAGTTTTGTTCAAATGTTCGCAGGCTCCCGCCTCCTTGTTTCCGTGACTACGAACTGTGTTACACCTACAAATTCACAAAGTTCTCCAGTTCTAGTTTGCCAAGTTCTCCAGTTCTAGTTTGCCAAGTTCTCCAGACTCTCTGTTCTTTACGTTCTCTAAGTTCTAAAAGTTTTACATTCTCATTGTTCTCCAGTTCTAAGTTCGCCATGTGTCCTCAAGTTCTACAATTCTATAGTTCCCCAAGTTCAAACATTCTAAAATTGTCCAAATCAGCCAAAGTTCTAAATCTTAAAGCCAAATGAAACCTCTCATTATTCAGCAGTCTTCAGAAAGAAATGCATGTGTGGTTTGCAGTGATATTACAGTATGAGGAAGGTCTGGAGTTCCACTGCATGTTTCTGATATCGGCAGCTCAATGGGGGGGCTCTGTCTGAATGCGACTTAATGCTTTAGGTATGCTGGTATTTGCCTGATCCACGAGAGTATGTGTGCTGTGGATGAATGAGAGGGTTTGTAAACTTGGATATGTTTTGGATTAGCTCAAGGCGTAAGATTTTTAATAGGTGTCTCATAAGCATGCAGTACAAATTAACTTTTATCACTGCTTATGGTGTCTGTTCTTTTGACCTTGAGATGTTTCTTAATGTTTCTGCCCAGTTTCTTCCCCCCATCCTTCCTTTTTTGTAATATGTAACTCCCTCTCTCTGCATACAATGGCCCATTGTTCTTAAACAAGTGTCTGGAATACAAAAACAACTTGAAATGTGCAACATAATAAAACGGGATTGGAGGAGACAGTAAATAATGCACAATCCAGAGAACTGACTGGAGGTGGCAGTAATGTATGCAAAATGCTGACAAAAGATTGGAGGAGATGGTCATTTATGCAAACTACCAATAAATTATTAAAAGCAGCAGTAAGTTTAGCAAATTTAAAGGGGTCATATGATGCGATTTCAAGTTTTCCTTTCTCTTTGGAGTGTTACAAGCTGATTGTGCATAGATAAGATCCCTGAAGTTGCAAAGACTAAAGTCTCAAAACCAAAGAGATATTCTTTATCAAAGTTAAGACTCTGCCACGCCCCCCTAAAATAGCTCGTTCTAACACGCCCCCACATATCTACCTCACTATGTGGAAATATTAGCATAATGCGCCCAAATGTGCACGCAAAGAAAGAAGGCGTGGTTTCAGTAACCGCAGTTAGTGTTGAAGCAGCATGTCAGGGAGACGCTGTGTGTTTCAGTGCGAAAGCAAAAGCACTTTATTTGGCCTTCCGAAAGTAGATGCATTTAGGAATCTTTAAGATTACTTACAACAGAACAGCAATGCATTTTATGGACAACCGTTTCGTGAACCTAGGAGAGGAGGTAATTCTGACTTTGCTATGACAATCTGGCGCTTCTGAATCAGCTACTGTTTTGTTATTAGTTTAAGTATTTGCTATTGACTGTTCAAATGCGGAGTTTTGTGCATTGTGTGTGTGTGTGTGTGTGTGTGCGTGTGCGCGCGTGTGTGTGAGAGAGAGAGCGAGAGAGACTAGCTTCATCACTGTGTCTGTCACGCGACTCTGTTCCCCTTTCGGGCTCTGTCTTTTCATTTATTTTGAAAGATGAAGCTCGCGATTATGGTAAGGGGCGTTACATTTCCGACGAGTGCTTGCGGTGTTCGGCCAATCACAATGCACTGGGTCAGCTGGCCAATCAGAGCAGACTGCGCTTGTCAAAGGAGGGGGCTTTGTTGAAAACGAAGCGTTTGAGAGAGGCGGGGCATAGAGGACCTACAATAATGTACAGTATTTGAAAAATGTGTTTTTTGAACATTAAAGCATGTCAACATATTCTGTTACACCAAATAATGATCTTTAAAAAAAGCATCATATGACCCCTTTAAGCGAAACGCAGAGAAATCAATGGAGGCGGCGTAAGTTATGCACTTACTCTGCAAGCCAGCACACTCAAAGTTCTCTCATGAATATTCATGATGGGGTAGTTCTTTCCTTTGTAGCGGTTCACTTCCTACAAAACAATAAAACAACTACAATTTATAAACACAAAAATAACATTTACTAAACATTAAAATTACACACTGCTATAATTCACACATAAGTCACTAATACAATTACAGACCGACTAAGATGCACTAACCAAAGGTTTACGGTATGTCACTAACCAATTGTTTAAAATTGGGCAATTTTAAAACTATTCACAATTATAACTTTGTTTCACTTTTGTTTTGTTTTGTGCCCCTGAGGCAAAGTTAAAAAACTGTAAAACAGGTTTGCATGTCGTCATGCTGAGGTTGTAACTTTGAACTTCCCTTTTCCTGATTCACATGAGGTTTTCTGTCTGATCAAAGTTTATCGCAAGAATTAAAAACAGCTTGTTATAGCAAATTTTGCCCTTTCGACAAGCACCATGAGGGTGGAGTGGTCTGTAAAATCCCGTAAAGAGTTTGTGCGCGTTTGTTTTTATGAAACACACCTGGTCAAAGTGCAGTCCGACAATGACGTAAGGTTTCTCTGCTTGTTTGTGAACAGTCTTGAGGAAATCCACGTTACCGATGTCTATACGGGTCAGATAGTCAAGGCCAAAACAAATGTACAACCGCTTAAAAATGTTCAACTGAATTTTTCCTGACTTTTCCAGATTTATGGATCTCTTCAGAAGCTAAATGTGGAGTGACGTGATTTTAAAAGGATACGGAAGAGATCGAAAGCTCCGGCCACATAAATAATTGTGTCTCCCGGCTGCGGTTCTTTTCCTGAGGCGAACTGGATGATCTTCTGAGACGTCTGAAGGAACTGAGAGACGCCAGTCCAAGGGCTGTGCCCTTTAGGGCCCTGAGGAGAAAGGATACATGAGAAAGTTTTGCATTTGCAAATGCCAAAATATTCAAATGAACAGTATGTAGGAGTTTTGTTACTCATACACCACATATACAATTCCAGTTATGTACAGTATGTTCTCCAACTGGAATTAAAAACAACATTTAAAAAACTTAACCTATTTAACTACTGTAATATGGACATTTCCAAGCAGACTAAATATAAAGATGGAAATAATGTTGCAGAAGATTTCATTTTATCCATCAGGATTTAATTAGATTATTAGGTTTGATGAAAAAATATATAACATAAAATAAAATATAATACAATTTTTATGGTTTACAGGTAATCCCTGACCTCTAGTGGTCAAACCTTCATATGACAGCAGATTACAATATCATATTAACAAAAATATTAATCTGGACATCAGCAGATCAACTCACCTTCCCAAAGTTATCTGTGTGGAGCTGGTAGGCTGCATTATCCTGAGAGAGAGGGAGGAATATGAATTAGGGACTAACAAAAAGACTTCAGATAACACTTATCTATACACACAATAAACGATAAAGTATACTCACAACATTACTGTGATGTGATTTTGTTAACAGGAGCATACGACCCACTAGGTCTGTCGTAGACACTCCCTGTGTACGTTTACATTCCCTATTGATGAAAAAGACATACAGCAACCATTACACACACCCTTGGGTCAAAATTCAGTGGTGTGCCGCAGGTATATGTCCGAGGCCCATTGGACTTTACCTGTATCGGCCCATTCTCTTCACTTCATCGTACGTATCCTTTCCATCCACGGTCAATGTAATATCATCTAGCAACATAAAATTAAATTATTGAAATTCTATTTGTTATTATTATTATTATTTTTAATTATTATTATTGAAATTCAATAGATTTTTTTTCCAGATTCAATTAAATTTAGGTTAAATTTGAACTATGTTGGGTTAAAAAAAATACATATAATGGTTATTCCTTCAATGTACAAATTACAGAAGGACTATAAATATAAAGATAAATATAACTAAAATATTTTAATAATCGTTCTAATTTGTTCTAATAGAGATGTCCACACCGCAATTTGATGTTTTATGACATAGAGGAACAATATAGTTGGAATCACTTTCAGAATTCACAATTTTTCCAGCTGATGAACGATAAACATTGACAGCCTATCAGAATCCACCTGGCTTTTTAAGAGCTCAAGTATTTGAAGTAGCAGATGACAAAACTGTAGCATGCACCAACAATAAACAGAATGTCATCGTCCGCTGTTGTGGACACTAATATAGTTATCGTTTTAGTTATTTTCATAGTTACTGTTCTTGGTGTGAACAGGTTTTTAAACACCAAGATCTTTTACTCAAAATAAACTGTAAAAAACATGTTGTTAAGAAATCATCATGATTATGGCATCACGATCATTAGCACATAAGCACATGGCCGCAAATGTTAATATTTATTAACAAATTAATAGGTCATATTAATATTATATTTACACATAATGCTTATGATTGAACCGACGTTAACCTGACATGAACCAGTGTGTGTTTTATGAGCGAAAAGGTTCAATCATAACATAATTTAAATATAGAACTCTTAAAGGAACAGTAACAAATATAGGATGTTCAATTTTAAGAATAAAACAGGATGAAAATGATTATGAAAAACTAAATTATAACCATTTTGGATAAAAAACAAGCGTACTTCAAAAACTAAAATTCCACAAAAGTGTAAATTATGGCACCTTTAAAGACATTAACATGATTACGGACTGCTTTTAACGTCTATAAGTGTCTAAAGGATGCCCTCACCTCCGTGCACGCAGAAATCACAGTTGTACTTGTCCAGCGTCTCCAGCGTAGTAACATACGGCGCACCCTCCACGATCTCATCTACCCACTTTATGGCCCGTATCATTTTATACCGCTCGGCCTGCGTGAAGACCGGAGGACCCTTGTGCTTGGCTATTTCCTCTGAATGTACAAGAGAAAATATTTGACCATTTCTCAGTTTATATATTACAGCATTACAGTGACTTTATGTGAAGGTCTGAAATATGACGTGTGAAGCATACCGTCTGTATGTACTCCTACTACGAGATAATCTCCCATCGCCTTGGCCTGTCGTAATTGGTTAGAGTGACCATAGTGCACCATGTCATAGCTGTAAAGACAGATGTGGACTTTAGATATAGGGTCAAACATGACTTCCATTTAGAAAAACCACACAGGTGATGTAATAACTGCTTTATAACAGCTAAATAAAAAGCTGTACACACAGCTGTAACTAGAGACGGGTGGGTTATCTAACCACCACGGGCCCTTACCTCTAGTAATATCATTAGCCAGGCCAATGGGATTACATGGGGACATAATCTCCAATTCCATTTCCCATGATCCTTTGCTGGGCACCACACTTCACACTATGTGTTATTTATAACTGCAGTTACATTTCAACACTCATAAATGAACTGGAGGAATATATCATCTTTAAGCGTGAAGGGTGTCATTTCTGCACCTCCACTGCAGTGTTATGTTAATATATATTCATATACTATTATAGTATTTATTAATATTACATTTAGCTTTTAAATAAAATGTAATGTAGCTTTTAATATTTTATTTCCAGTTCTAATTTTAATGTGAGTAATTTTAGTATTTTTAATATTCATTTTGTGCTTTTGTTATTTTTTTTATATTTCTGTAAAGCTTTAATTAATTTTCATTTCAGTTGTAGTTTTAGTAGTGTTTTTTTAGTTTTTCATCTAATATATATGTTATTCCAGTTTTAATTTAATTACTGAAAAAGATAGGCCTACACTTTCTAATTGTGAAATATCAATGTTCTCAAGCCTATTTACTACACTAACAAAATGTTCCACAGTATGAGGCACTAGATTTTTGGACACGCATAGACATAAGTACAAATACAAAATACCTTACCATGTACAAATACATTTACCATGACAATACCATGCTTTTTGACACACATACCATGGTATTCTTCAAAATACCATGCTGTACCATATAAACACAATACTTATGATAATCTTTCAATTCCATGGAAAATATCAAAGTATCACCATCTGACACAACACCACTATACTATGGTACTACTATGTTTTGTGCACATGTACTGTGGTAATACCATGGTATTTTTATAAACAATGAAAAACAATTAATAAGGCAATCATTAAGTATAATGGCATGTGTTTGACATACATGAATTTTAATATCATAGATAGTATATTTAAAAAAATTATCACCGTAATACGATGTGATATTAACCGTGATACCGATAAAGTACTTTTGTATTCCAAGGTTCTTCCAAGACTGTCATGATACGAAAACACGGTACTTTTTGTTGCTACCGTGGCAAATGTCAAAATACCATGACAATAATATTTTATTTCCAGTTCTAATTTTAATGTGAGTAATTTTAGTATTTTTAATATTCATTTTGTGCTTTTGTTATTTTTTTTATATTTCTGTAAAGCTTTAATTAATTTTCATTTCAGTTGTAGTTTTAGTAGTGTTTTTTTAGTTTTTCATCTAATATATATGTTATTCCAGTTTTAATTTAATTACTGAAAAAGATAGGCCTACACTTTCTAATTGTGAAATATCAATGTTCTCAAGCCTATTTACTACACTAACAAAATGTTCCACAGTATGAGGCACTAGATTTTTGGACACGCATAGACATAAGTACAAATACAAAATACCTTACCATGTACAAATACATTTACCATGACAATACCATGCTTTTTGACACACATACCATGGTATTCTTCAAAATACCATGCTGTACCATATAAACACAATACTTATGATAATCTTTCAATTCCATGGAAAATATCAAAGTATCACCATCTGACACAACACCACTATACTATGGTACTACTATGTTTTGTGCACATGTACTGTGGTAATACCATGGTATTTTTATAAACAATGAAAAACAATTAATAAGGCATGTATAAATATAATGGCATGTGTTTGACATACATGAATTTTAATATCATAGATAGTATATTTAAAAAAATTATCACCGTAATACGATGTGATATTAACCGTGATGCCGATAAAGTACTTTTGTATTCCAAGGTTCTTCCAAGACTGTCATGATACGAAAACACGGTACTTTTTGTTGCTACCGTGGCAAATGTCAAAATACCATGACAAAAAAACATCCCTGCGCAACTATACTTCATTTTTGTTGAATTCTAACATTTTAAGACCCATTCTTGCTGCTTTTGCATGCTGTAGAGATGCACTGCACACTATGAATGTGGTGTCACTCACCAGCCGTCACACCACACCCGGATCACCCGCTTCCTCTTCTCCGGGCTGTAGCTGGAAGAGCTCGACTCTCCCTTGTCCTCTTCCTCTACAGCATGGCTTCCGTTCCTGATCATGTTTTTAATGCGTATAAAGTCCCCGAGCAGGCGTTATGATAAACGGCTGGATCACTCCGTGTTGATATGAATGACACCGGCGGTCTCTACGTCCTTCCAGAAGCCTAGAGAATGTGCGCAGCTCGACGTAGATGACGCAACGCGCAAACAGCACGCCTCCTTACGTTGCCCCGCCCCCTCGGGTTGGGAAGTGACGCCGGCAGAGTGTCGCGAGATTTTCTTGCAACAAGTGCAAAGAAACGATAACCTCCCATGATTAAAATAATAATAAAAAGGATTTAAAAAAAATCTTTATTAGTGTTTATGTTTCGTTACACACGCTATAATCTGTACAAGATAGTGTTTGCGTATGTTATCCTGTTTTCACAAAAAAGGTTTTCTATTTGAAGTTGGACTTTTTCAAATATTTATTCTTTCTTTCTTTCATACTTAAAGAAAAATCTCAGATTGCCCTTTTTCTAATCAACTACAAATAAATAAATAAAACAAACATAAATATATTTTGAATATTTCAAAATAAGGTTACATGTTTCATTAGGATTATATTTCGTAATTGATATTATTGTAATAATAATAATAATGGATATTAAAAATAAAAATACCTAAAGTAAAACTAAAAATCAAGTAGTCTATTCGTAAATGGATGAAAACATAATGTTTTTTACATAATGTTGGAATCTTGCTCTTTTCAGAAATGTAACTATTATTTTATTAATGCACTGCACAAAATATTTTCTTATCATGTTATCTTGAAATTGAGGTAATTTATTTCACTAATAGTATTTTTTTCTTCTTTGTTTCTTACATCTTTCTTAAATCCTAGATGGTTTTTTTTCTGAACAATTGCAAACATATATATATTTTTTTACATAATTTACTCCAGTGTAATAATATTATTATTATAAAGGTAATTTACTTCAGTAATAATCATTTTTTCTTGACTTTCTTGACTATTTGAAAATATTGTTTTGCAACAAATTTGTTGTCTTTTTAATATATTATTTCTTATAGAGGTTTTTTTTTGATCAATTGCAGAGAAAAAAATTTTGATTTTTAATTTAATGCGAAGTGTTAAGTGTTAGCATTTTTTAAATGTAAGAATCTTGCTCATTTCAGAAATGTAACTTTTTTATTATAACCATAAAACCCCATGTATAAATAATCTTCGATAAACATGTTGTCAGTTTCTTATGGCTTTGCACATAAAACAAACCGAAACCGCAAACACATTTATTGCTACAGACACCCTTTAGGTGGCGCTACAGATACAACAACAACAGGCTCCGGTGGAATATGAAAATGTTTATTTTGCAGAGCAAGACACCATTTTCAATGGCACTTTGATACAGTGGTGGCACACGTAAATTTTCACTTTTTACCTGAGTGTTAGTGATTCACCTGAGTTTGTTTTTATCGCACACATAGAAAATAGTTCAAAACTATAGAAAAATATTTTTTTTTGTTACAACTTACACGATGTTCTTTAACACTAAGGGAAAATAAATAACAACCACAGTGCTCAAAGGTTTTTTAAAAAATAAAATAAAATGACTTTTGATTTCAAGAGTTGGATCCATTTTGCCTGTAAGCGATATGGCTTTCATTCATTTTGATGATCGAACCCCATCAGGATCCAAATGTTAGCTCTCACAGGAAAGCCCACTGGTTCCTCATTGATTTCCGCCACGTTTGCCACTAGAAAAGACAATAACCACATAAAACTTCCACAAAATACACCCATATTTTCTTCTTGTACTGATTAGCATTCATACACTTTAAAAATGCTGGGTTAAATACAACCCAGTGCTGGGTAAAATAGGGACAAACCCAGCAATTGGGTTGTTTTGACCCAGCGGTTTGGTTAATTGTTTAACACAACCTTCTGGGTAGTAACCCAACCGCTGGGTCAAAACAGCCCAATTGCTGGGTTTGTCCCTGTTTTACCCAGCACTGGGTTGAATTTAACCCAGCATTTTTTAGAGTGTAATATTCGGATATCTTTAGCATATCTGTGTTGTTAGCTGCTAGAAAAGATGTTACCTTGTCCCTGATGTCTTAGAGTTCATCACCCATTGTAAATACTCCTTGGCAGCGATGCTGTCCAAGACCTTGTTAACATCACTGGTGAAACTGCCGTCTACATGCCTCCTGCGCGGCAAATTAGCACCTCTGCTGCCTGCAACACTGCACATAATGCGATAAACAACTTGTTAGCGTGTGTACATGACACTTATTTCAAGTTTAAACCAGTTAATGATGGGTTTAAAAGCAGTTAGCAGGCCTACATCAAGTTTAGCACAATTTAGCGTTAGCATGTCGCATGTAGGATTTTCTGGGAAAATCAGTTTGTGAGAAAGTTTGTAGTATTAGTTTTGGGATGTCTGGTTATAATTAGCATCTTTGCAGATAGGATTTTGAAGTATTTGTTTGATTAGCACAGAAGCAGAAGACATTAGCAGAGAAAGATAACCAGAAGCACACAGCCTGGTTTCAGCGCTATTTATTAGCATTAGCATTTGGCAGTGAGGTTGGACAGGGTGCGTAAGAAAAAAGAGACAGATGTTGGGCAGGAGAAAGTGTGATGAAGCAGTCAGTTTGACTACTTCTCTCTCACGCACAATCACTCTTAATTTGTTTTTTTTATTATTTCCATCTCTTTCACATGTTATAAGGCACTGCAGTTCGAAGTGCGGAGGCCTACTCTTGTTTGGGCTGTCCGGATTTTAGCCAGGCCACAAAGTTCTGGGCCTCCTGGTCCTGCAGGTGGGAGCTGACGTCACTGGTGTAGGTTCCCTCAGCGTGACGTTTGGCCGAACCACTGGCAGAAAAAAGAGAGTTTGATTTAATGTTTGAATTTAAACTAGTATAGCAAAAGTCTGTTAGTGTTAGGCTTTTAAATAAAATACAATATTATTACACACATATAAATATTTAAAATTATTAAATATATTCTAATTATACATAATTATATATATATATATATA